CATTTACAAAGTCTCCATACAATAACTAATATGTGTATATTTCGTAATTTTAGTTGATCGATATGAGATATTTTCATTTAGTACGATTTTCAACTATATAGTTGATAATAACCATTACTCGTCATTTAGGGGGGGTGGGGGTGGGGCGGGCGTGATAACAAATGTGCCGTGCAAAAGGGGGGGGGGGGGGGGGGGCGGGCGTGATAACAAATGTGCCGTGCAAAAATAGAATTTTGACTCTTAATCGTTATGATTCATAAAAGATGAATCCAATTTAATCAAGTTTACGTAGTGTACGTTTAAAAATTTTTTAATAAAGTTTATAGATGACAATACGTGGAGTAGATAATTATAAATTTACAAAATTTATAGATTTCTTACCAAATAATCTCTAATTAGCCAATGATTGAATTGTATAAATATTATTATTTTTTTTTTTTTTTCGCTCGGTATCTGGGGCTTTGTCCCGACTAATCCGGACTCGATTCGCGTCGCGCACCTGGAAATGGTGGGTGAGTCTCCCAACGGGGCTGCTGCATACACAAAGTCTCGAACTCGAGACTTTGCTTAAGTTGGAACAAACCGCTTACCACTTGATCCAACTTCTCGTTGATCAATTGTATAAATATTTTCTCTATGATAAAGTCCAAGACGTGTGATTTTGGTATACTTATACAGACATGACGTACAATTCACATGTCCGAACACGCAATGGCAACAAGAAAAATGTGTTGATGACTTATATATGTATATGTATGTGTGTCACATAACTCCGTATAAATTTAGGTATGGGATAGATGCATGATTGAGAGGGACCGGGGAGGAACAAATCAAAATGTGTTATCACATGCAGAAAGAAAGAGAAAATAAAATTAAAAAAAGGAAGAAAAAGGCAAAATATGTACTAGATGTTAATTATTTATGTGGGTTCCATTTCCATCAGATGAAGAAATATGTGGGTTCTATGTGAAAGGGGTCAGAAGATTAGTTGGAATTTGTGTTACCATGTGCAAGGAAAAATCTCAAAATTCCTCAAAAACATGTTCTCACTATCATAAAAGGGTCTGCCTGCTCAACTTAATTGAAAAAGATAAGTGATGAAGAAAAGGTCCAAGTTCAAAGATGGTTGCTGCCAATAGAACCTAAGTCTTACCATACTCGTCAAAATTTCTTTTTGTACCAACCCAAGATGTAACAAGGGACTCAAAATTATATATTCTAACTTCATTTTCAGGTGCTCTATATTTTAATTATTGTGATGTTCTATGCTTTGACCATTTGAAATCCTGAAGTACTCTACTTAACTAAGAGGTTAGCCTTTTAAAAAAAATAAAAAACCAAACTCGACTAAGAGATTAGAGCCTGCAGGATTTTCAAAATTTACTTATAAACACTTCGTATTATTAAAAAAAAAAAAAAATTTCTTCTAATAAATTTGTTAAAGAAAAGATGAATTGGTACCTAGTCTTTTGGGTCAACTGGCACCTATCAGTTTAACGTGCATTCTCTCTTTCTATGAGCGGGTTTCGAGCTAATCCCTTGACAACTTATTTAAAAAAAAAAAAAGAAAGGAGAAAAGATGGATTGGGCCAAAGTCCAATTCCGAGGCCCATCAAGTTTGGAGGTCTCCCAACCAAAAATGGGAAACCCTTTTGGAGCGAACGGTATTTCCGTGGAGACTGCGTGCATCCTGTTCTTGTTCGATGCGTTCTTTATGCAAATAATGCAAATAAAAACGCTTCCTGTATTAAAAAGCTCTACTATGAAACATGCCCTCATAGAAACGTCATTACCATACCCTAATATATGTTTTTTTACCTTCATTTTGGAAAATGTCTCTGAGTCAATGGTTTCAGCACATTCGGCTCATCCTCCAAAGCCCACGACAAAAACCCATCTCCAGAACTCGGCGTATTTGCTCTCTACACTTAAATTTCCGGCTTCATTTTAGGCTTTTAGCTTGAAGCTGCAGTTTTTGTTATGTTGTCTATTATCTCGTTATCTTTCAGATGAGTTTGTATTCAAGATCCTCCTTTTTTTTCCTTCTTCTTCTTCTGTCATCTTTAATTACAATTCTCCTTCAAAGAATTGATTAAAGTTGGAAAAAGGCTGAACAGCTGAACTACCATATTCTGCAAATATCCACAATTTCATTTGTAAAGAGAAGATTTCATTATAGTAAATTTTGCATTAAGAAGAGGTGGAACTGTGTATAGTACACATATCTTCCCAGAAAATTTGGGGTAATTCTAACTTAATAATCTAATAAAACACAACCTTTATGCCACAGAAGAAAAAAAAAAATTCTAATGATACACAGCCAAAGCATCCTCCATCCACTATTATTCCTATCGAATATGTAATACGCCAAATCATTTGAACCCCCTTCTCGTCCACATTATTCCTTCCAAAGAACAGACTCATTGCATGAGGGGGTTGCCGACCTATTTTCATACACAGCACCGGAACTAGATTTATAAAGAAAGTTCTGCTTCCTGAACTCTTACGCTTCTTCTGTGTGTTATGTTGGGGCTTGAATATTCCGTGTCACCATCGGATGAGGAAATGTTGGATGATACAGATGATTCAGGGACTGAGGCTGACATTGGATTCGGCTGACCTTGACTCCTCAAGCTATGGGCTGACAGTGACGGTGATGGTCTGGGGGCTTCCGGAGTTGTGTGGCCTTGAGCCTCTTCTGCAAGTCGTTTTAGAAGATTCATCACAGTTGGAAGAAACCTCGATGATATTGAGATCAATCCAGCCAGCTGGTAGACAGCAACCAAAGAGATAAAACTATCAGTTTGCAACAAACTCTTTCTATAATTGGAGCAAGGAACGTAAAATGGAGCTGCTATATTATATACCATCAAACTCCCTTTAATTGGAGCAAGGAAACTAGGATACAACAGTTTATTGTTTATCATATACCATAGCCTTAACTACCATCTTAAAGAACGAGTCCAATTCATAAAAGAGAGTGCATGGGGAAAATGAGATACAGGTATGTCGAGAAACAATTCAGCTAAAATGCATAGGCCACTATGATTTGCCTTACATGTTTTCAGCAGCAATCTAAATAATGTGACTCTAAAGTCAAGCCATGACTAAAACTAGTGACTTGTGAGTGGTATAGCAAGGATTTTCTTCTCTTTTTGAGTACAACTTGGCAGATATTTATATTACCTATTAGTTAACAGATGATACTAGGGACTGCTAAAACATCAGTGCAATGGAGAGGTTGAAACAAATTTCTCTGGTTCCTTAAAGCATGTTAAAAGTTCGAAGAAAAAGAGAGGAAAATGAAATGGCAGTGTGTTCTATCTAGGGGTGGGCAAATGCTTATGGGTGTCTAGGAATCATGTAGTAAGAGGATTGCCAAAACTGTAGGAGGTTCATAAACTGTTCATATTTCAACAAGAGAAAAGAACCATGAAGAAAAGATTAGTTTCTCTTCCATGTACTCACAGTGCCATGTTGAAACTGCTCTGCTACATCCATCTGTACCCATAAGGCTTTTGACAGTAAATATAAAACAAACAGAACCATGAGGTAAAGAGGATTCCTGTTTCATTTGTAATTAGAAGAAAAACATTGTTAATAAAACAATTACAAGGAAATTTTTTTCAGAACTCCACCTGCAAACTGTAATTACCTTAAAAGCATCATAAATTCATTAAAGCCAAGGACAACCATTGCCACAATTGCCCATGGTGGAGGTAACCAGTTGTTACTACGCCTGTGAGCCTCCTGAAGGTAAGAGGCAGAAGATTCAGCAACAGAATGATATCTTGCCAAGGAATATATGATGAAAATAATAGGAAGCTTCTAGCCTAAGCAAACAGAAAGGGAAAATATTACCTGAATAATTCACATCCTATAATCAATAGGCGAATTTAACATTATGTAGAACAGGAATTCTTTCACTTTAAATAAATATTTTTTTATATAAAAAAGGGGGGTCTCACACAAGTAATTGACCATAAAATTATAAGACAGTCACGCATTAGTGCCAACTTGGAATGAAGGGAGAGCAGCAAAACACATGAACCAAAATATGAGATAAGTTGGTGAGATTTTGACCTAAAACTAAGAGACAAGAACTCATATTACTGGGAAACTGAAAGTATAAACCTCTAACTCATCAAACAAGAGAGATACACAACATAAAGAAGGAATATTCAGATGCTTGGGATAGTTTTCTCTTTCCTGTCCTTGAAAAAGGATGTTTTCCAATGAGAATGAAAGACATTTTCCCAATAATTTGGGTAAAACTGCACTTCTCTTGACAAAAGAGTGTTAACAAAATGTAAAATGAAACAAAATAAAAAAATCAATCATGAACCAATTAACATAATGTACCTGTGCTGAGATAGCTTGAGTCACTGTGTACTCAGTCTCTGCTTTGAACTGTCTCCAGAGTGACTTACATTGCACTGGTGTGATCAGAGTATCTTTTGGAGAAACCTAATCCAGATTTGAGGAATCAAAATGAAAAAACGTATCAATTCAATTTAATTAAGAAATTAATAGTACCATATTACTACCTCCTCCCATGTGCTAGAGGCAAGAGGGTCTGCAGATGTTACTATACTTCTATCTTGGGAAGATGAAACAGCCATAGTTCCATCTAAGAGGGATGAAAAGAGTGTGTTCTCAATATTATCTGGCTTCTCATTCAAGCATATGGCAGCCATAACAGATAAGAGCCTTAAAGACTGCAATAGAAATAAGACTTGAATCACACAATAAAATAAAATGAGAAGAAGTGACACTTTACTTCCCTTCATAAACAAGATAAACAAGCAAATTACTGCAGCACGGGCATCCTTGGTAATTGTCTTAATGTCTTCTTTTCCAGTCCAAACCCTTGGCATTGACTCATTGTCATGACTAAAGACTGTTGAGAACCTGAAATTTGTGCTAAGAGCATTAGGCAAGAAATTTGATTATTATAATTAACAATACCAAACAATAAGGATGAAGTTATTTACCTATCTTTCATGTGGATCAGAACTTTTCCAGCTTCTTCTCTTGCTTTCTTCTCCACCACATTTCTTGCATAGTCCCTTAAATTCTGCACCATTTTGTCAATGGTGGCTTGGTCTAACTCAAAACCAGATATGGCAGTTGAAAACTGTGAAACAGCTGTCTCTGTCTCACGTTTAAGAAGCTTTCTTATTGAAGCCCATGTGTCCTTCCCACCAGCGTCAAGTAATGCCTCCACTGGTTCTGTCAGTGTTTGACTGAGTTGTTTCTGCAAATCAGAAAGGAGTCAACAGACTCAACACTGACATAACTGATATAATACAACACTTATAAAGTATCAGATTAAACAAGAAACTTACCTCACAGTTTGCTACCAATTCTGATAACTTTGCACCACGAACAGATGATGCATGACCATCAACATCACGACGAAGTTTTTCTCGGACTTTTGAAGCATCCCAATTAGCCTGCTTAATAGCAGCATCTGAAGTACAAGAACATGAAATTAAATCATAACATGTAACAATCTTGCACTCCTACAGTATAAAACTTAAGATGAAAATGCAAAACAAGCAACGACATAAGCACAGGAAAACAAATCTTATAGGATATAAATATTACATTACCTGCACATCTTCGGTCAAACTCAAGCATACAAGAACCAGAACACGCACAAACAGAAGCTGCAAATCCTTCTCCTTCATTTAGCATTTCCTCTAATCTAGACTTGAAATCCTCCAGTGCTTTGAAGCGTAGATGTCCCAACAACTTAGTATAAGCAGGATAGACAAACTGGACAATGCAAAAGAGTTCACTCAATAGAGAAAGATGACAATGCATATTCAAAAGTGCAACAATATTACAGTTTAGAACACAATAGGTAATAGACCATACTAAAAATCATACATGTGCTATTATTATTCTCATGAATACATGCATCCAAAAATTGCACGTAGACCCCAGTTGGGATAGTGGAGCAACAACCAGGGACTTTATTTACAAAATATAACTGCTTACTTGGTCTTGAACAAATTAGCCAGCCATAATGATAAATTTAACAAAAAATTCTGTTCGTATTTGATACATAAAATACATCACCCATTTGGAGATGCCCCTTTACTAATCTGGGGAAAACTAACAGTGATATCTCTATATAATTAAAAGAATTATGGAAATTTTATGTATGCACACACCACAGTATTTATTTAGGGATAACACAGATGTACCATCCATCTTTAACCAAGTCAAGGGCCATTTCTAAGCCATTGGAAATGAAACATTGCTGGAAATAATTCAGTGAAGCCCTTCTGGAGTTCAAATATCTCCAGCAATGATCAAAATGCTAGCATGAATTATATAACTTGATAGTAGTTTAATTATTACAGTTTGCAATGCAATGTAAACCACCATAAATATTCTGAAATTTCAAATAGAATGAGTACATTAGCATTAAAGCCTTACATCCAAAACTTTTGACTCCAATTGTTGACGTTTTGCGTTCCTTACACCCTCATCAAAGTAGATCGCCTCCATGTCATATCTATGGTTAAAGAAAATTCAAGTGCATAAGCAAGATTAGGACCTTCAAATCAAGCTGAAGACCTTAATATATGAAACCTAACAATCATTCAGGTTCACTGGCCAAAAGACAATCTAGTTCATAATAGCGAATCTAGGCCTTTAACTTCATCTTTGGGTGAAATATTGTTTAAAAAAGGTTGCAAATCTTCATTTTGAATTTATAAAATTAAATTCAATGTTTTTTAAAATCAAAACATTATAAGCAAAATATGTGAAGAGCTTAAAATAATTATTTCAATAGAAATTATTAATTAGTTTACCACAAAACAAATATCTACTCATGAAAACTTTGATGAATGAAAAAAACCTTTAAATATTGCATAATATAATTAATATAACAAATGTTCTGTGCTATTAATTGCAGGCAATTTCCAAAGTAGATCATAATTTAAAATTCACATATAGAAACATCATTGTCTCTTACAAGTTACAACAACAGGGATACATACATACAAACAGTATAGACTTATGACACACAGGTATAAACTTACTCTGAAAAATAGGTATCTAGGATAGAGCTCAGCTTTCTCCCAAAACCAGATACTGCCCCAGATTGAACAGCTTCTTCTAAAGCCATCCAAGCCTAAATAATATTCACTTGAGCAGTCAGCAAGCAATAATGGCAAGTTGCTGGAGTAACAACTAAAAGAGATGGATGCAAAAGTACCTCATCAGTGGTTAAACAACGGAGCTTCTCATCGGCAATCTCCTCACACCGAACAGTGGCAACCATGACCTGGTAAACGTAATGAAGAAACATTTACTTGCAGCAGTAGAAAAAACTGAGAAATTCAAACATTAAAAAAAAAAAAAAGCATAAATAAAAACCTTGTGAGCAGGAAGATTCAAGTCCTTGTTCTCTTTTATAACTTTCCATATCTGCTGAGCACTAAAAGAAAATCCTGAGGCAGGGACAACACCCTGTCTGTCACCAGCAAGTCCTCCTGGGGAAATAGAATTGAAAAATCGCTGCCTCAATTGAGAAACCTGCATACAACATGACATCATATAATGTCAGTAGCTTTAAACACCCACTCTAGACCCAATTTTCCCCTATCAGAGAAGCTATCAGGGATCATGACGCAAAATGTTGAGGGGGCTCAAAATCTAAATATTTGGCTAATTAGATAGACAATAAGGCTATGCTTGGCAGGGATAATGAAATGCAAGAAAGATGGAACACTTTTTATCTAACATCATGAGGTTTCAGAATGAATGGAAAAACTTTTCCACTTCTCCATTGTTCCTAACAAGCATACTTGAAGGTTCCAACAACCCACTTCAAAACTGAAAACTGGGATAAATTATGAGAATTATAAATTAAAGAAGCATAAGCAGCTTCTTTTACTAGAGGGACTACCTGCTCTTTGAACTGCTCCTCCTTTTCTTCGTAGCTAGATAAAGCAGTGACCTCCACCTTCATAACAAAGATCAAAAGTATAATGAGACTTATAACTATGAAGAAATATATATAAATTATAGTGAGTAGAGAGAAAGGAAACAAAAGAGAAGAGAGAGATGTTCTTACATTAAAAAATTCACTAAGAGGAGTATTTTTACGGGCTGGAGGCTTTCGCACTGAATCCCATATCTGAAGTAATCATGGTCAATAAAAATGTTGAATAAAAAGAATAAGGAGTGAGACAGGAAGTGAGAAAAAAGAAAGAACCAAAAAGTAAAAAATAAGGGTATATACAAAAAAAAATTACCTTCTGAATATCTTCCCTTAAGACAGGCTCTAGGTGTTCAAGAGGGGTCTGCATAAATAGTTAGAAATGAGAAAACTGAAAAGTTCAGAATGCAATACAAATGTACTAAAGTCTTTTATCACAGTTATGACAATCAGCTTAGCAAGAAAATTTGCAGGCACAGGAAGTCCAGACCTTTGTTTTATCACGTATTACAAAGAGTAGTGTTGTCTTCCGAGGACTGAATAAACGCAACATAACCTATGTTTGGCAGAGAAACTAAACTGTCAAGTCGTAGAAAAACTGATGATAACACAGTAGAGAATGGACAAACAGATAAAGTACCTGGAAAACTGTTTTTAAAAGAGGTTTATTGGCAGCCTGCTCCCTACCAATATCATGGCACCACCTGTATTGGTATTTAAGATTTGATTAACAATTTAACATATAAACACATTGCCAGCAATTCTTTGGTTTTGCATATACAAAATATATCTGAAGTGTAGTGTATGCCCGCATGTAGGATTGTAGGAATAGCATAAAAAATCTGATAATGGCCACAGTTGGACATGAATATGCATGAGCACAAAAAGGAAATGACAAGAGAAGCAAACCACACTAATATACCATCCTTCATCTAGTCAGATGATTATTATCTCTATGCTTCTGTCACTAAATCAAAGTTTATTGAGAGTAGTGCACTGCAATTGACTCAACAAATGATTACCCCAATGATTACTTCCATTAAGTTACAAGAAAAATGAAACACAGAGGAATAGTAGGTAATTCATTCTGCATCACAAAGAGAAATGAAACAGACTGTAGAGGCAAACAGAACATTCATGCAAAGCTGGAAATGTGCCAAACACATACCAGTATTGAGAGTTATAAAACTTCCCAGAACAAACTATACAATAATAGAGTACTTCCCACGACTGCAAACAAGTATTCAGTTCTATGCTTATCATATACTGAATGTAACTCAATGAAACTAATGACATCAATTCAAGCGATAATAACACTAGGCTAAATACTTTTAGAATGAGGATCCATTAGTCCTCCAACCAAGTCAATTCTAGGCCAGACCCTGTTCATTGCTAAGAAGTTTGTGACTCTCATAGCCTGAGCCATTCCCAAGGCCAAACCAAGCTTCAATTAATTGCAGGCAAGCTAAAATATATCAACCATAGCATAGGAACACAATGCTGATCTTACATGTTTATTAGAACAATGTCTGCAATTGCCAAAGCAAAAAGGGCACTTTGTTTCTCAAATGTAGTGTCATCCTGCAAAATAAGTGGCATCCAAATGTCCCCCAGGTATGATTATGAACATTAACTAAAAAATAAGCCAAGTAGTTAAGTTCTTAATTTGAAAGAAAACAGTGCCTAAAACTCCTGCCTTATCTACTTGAAAAATCTCAACATTAACATCCAATTTA